AGTGCGTCTATTCGTAGGTCTTTGAGGACCTCCGTATTTTGTCCTCCACGGTGCCTGTATTAATTTACATTTCTACCAACAGTATAGGAGGGTTCCCTTTTCACCACAGCCCCACTAACTCTTGTCGTTCTTTATTTTTTTACTCTTCACCATTTTAGCTGGGTTAAGTGGTATCTCATTGTGATTTCAGTTTGCATTTCCCTTATGACAAGTGACTGAATGTTTATTCATATGCTTTTTGGCTATTTGTAAGTCTTCCTTGGAGCATTGTCTATTCATTTGCCCATTTTCTTAACTGGATTATTCACTGTTTTAATGGATAAGCTGCTTGAGTTCCCTATAAGTTCTGGATAGCAATCCCTTGTCTGAGAAATAATTTGCAGATATTTTCTCTCATTCCAAGGGTTGTCTTTTCACTCTAATTATTGTTTCCTTTGCTGTGAGGAAGCTTTTTAAAAGCTTGATACGGTCCCACTTGTCTGTCTGGGGACTATTGCCTGTACTTTCAGGGTCCAATTTAAGAAATCATTACTTATTCCAATGTCTTCAAAGTTTCCTGTAATTTTTCTGCTTGTAGTCTTATAGTTTGAGGCTTTACATTTAAATCATTTTTTTTAAACATTCAGTTTAATTTTTAAAAATTATTTTATTCCGTTTCATTTATTCATTCATTCATTTATTTTAATTTGACCAGACACACACACATGCACACACACAGAGAGAGAGAGAGAGAGAGAGAGACAGACAGAGAGAGAGAGAGAGAGGAAAGTGAGAAAGCAAGTCACCAGGTCCAGGACTCGAACCATGGTCGGCCATGTGGGAATGCCCAGCGCCTTAACCACCACGCCACTTGCCAGTCCCTACATTTAAATCTTTGATCCATTGATTCCTGTTAACGGTAAGAGAAAGGGATCCTGGGAACCAGCAGTTAGCGTAATGGCTATGTCGCTGGATTCTCACGTAGTCGACTGTGGTTCACGTCCTGGACCCAGTGGCTTAGAACTCACACCAGGCGCGTTTGCGTGTGTGCCCAAGATCCCGAGAGGAGAATGGAGGAGAAGGGATTGTGGCGTGACCATCCCCCCTGGGGATGATTTCTCGCTTTCTGTCTCTGTCTCTCTCTGTCTGTCTGGCAAGCGCACACGCCCTATAGCAAAAACCTCTCAAAAAACAAAAAAAGAGAAAGGGGTCCTGTTTCTTTTTTTGTTTTGTTTTATTTTTTAGGGTTTTGCCATAGAGCATGTTGCTTACTGGAGAGAGACAGAGAGAGGGAAAGTGAAAAATTAACCCCCAAGGAGATAGCTACACCACAGTCCCTTCTCTTCCATGTTCTTCTTGGGATTTTGGTTGTGCATGCATACACAACTTGGCATGATTTTCAAGTTGCTGGGTTTGGGTCTTGAACCACTGTTGGCCATGTGGAAGTCCAGTGTCTTAGCCACCATGCCACCTACTTGTCCCCCAGTTGTGGTTTTTTTTTTTTTTTTTCTACAGGTGAATATCCAGTTCTTCCAGCACCATATGTTGAAGAGTTTTCCTCTCACTACTGCATTGTCTTGTAGCTTTTGAGAAGGATCGGTTGGCTGTGTGATTTGGGGTTTATTTCTGAATTCTCTATTCTGTTCCATTGGTCTATGTGTCTGTTTTTCTGCCGTACCAGACTGTTCTGATTATCACCATTTTGATATATATTCCAAAGTCGGGTAGTGAGGTGGCTTCTCGTTTATTCTTTGTGCTGTGTTGCCTTGATGATACAGGGCCTTCTATGATTCCAGACAGATTTTATGGTTTGTTTTTTTTTTCTGTTTCTGTGAAGAACGTCACCACGATTGGATCAGAATTGCACTGAACATGTAAATTAATTTATGTAGAACAGGCACTTTGATTATATTGAGTCTTCTAGTCCAGGAACATGGGATGTCTTCCCATTTCTTTGTATCATTCTCATGTTGCTGTGATTGGATTCCTTCACTAAGGACACCCTGTGCCGTAGGTTCTGGACCAGACGCTGTCAGTCAGTGACGTGGCTTCAATGGCTGGGTTACTAGAAGTCGTAGTGATTCTCTGGAAGAGCATTCATAGGAGCATGGACAGCAACAAGGAGGCCAGAGTCTACACCATCGACAGGTTTGCTGCCGCGCTGCCCGAATACCTGAGAGTGTTCCAGGTGAGTTGGCTGCCGTGGCCGTGCTGCCCGGGTACCTGAGAGTGTCCAGGTGAGCTGGCTGCTGTGGCCGCGCTGCCCGGGTACCTGAGAGTGTCCAGGTGAGCTGGCTGCTGTGGCTGCGCTGCT